AAATAAAAATACAAGGCATACAAAACAAACAGTTATTAAAAAGGTTTTAAAATTTTGTGACTGTACTCTCGTTCGTGGCTTATGGTTCTTCACAAATAATTAAAAAATATTTATAAAAAATAATACATATGTACATATGTAATAAGATTACTACCTATTATCTATTTTTTTTTTTTAATATTCCAGCTATAATAAATGTATATATGTACATAAGCATACTTAATTGTTTTTCTCTTCTCTATTATTTTGCATTAGTGCCATGTATTTTTATGTACTTTTCTTTATTGTATATAATAGAAATTTAATTTATCATGAGCGTTTGCAAAGAGTTCTATACTTCTTATGTATGAAAATATTTTTATAAATTAATTTTGTGTATAAGAATATACATACCCATATAAATATTTACTAATTATATATACTAGAAGCGAAATTTAAATACCACTTTTATATAATAATTTGCAAATACAAAAGCAATTCTTATCCATATACACTTATAGAAATAAATTGTAATTTCATAGTGTTTGTTCATTTAAAATGGATCTCTCGTATAAATTTTATACATATAAATAAGTATTTGGTACTGTACATTGAATTTATCATTTGTATAGCTACAATATAATATATACATATACGGATAATAAAAATCCTTTTATAAATTGTAAATATTTAAGTTATATATTTATGAAGATGAATGCATGTAAATATGTATATGCATATAAAACTAAGTTCTATATGAATATAATCTGCTCCAACGAAGTGAAGTGAAATCCAAATTTAATACATTTACGTTTACATACTTATGGACACATACGTATTTAGTATCTGGTATATATGAATGAATGTGTGTGTGTTGTATAAGTTTATGTGAATATAGAAGAAAGGTTATATAAATTCACATCAACACATTTATTCATAAATTTTTAATGTCGATATTTTAATAATTTAATTTTTCAATTATTGTAAAATCTATGATAATTTTCTTTTCTTTTTTAATTAATTAAAATTGACGTAAACTTTATCTTAAAATTTCCGAAAAGAGAGTAGAAATAATAAGAGAAATAGAAATTTTTTTTCTTCTATATTTTATGTACTTATTTTTACATTATAATTAAAATTAATACAAAACAAATAAAATACAAAAATTAAAAACAAATTTCTCATTTAATGCACAATACAAATTATTCCCATTGTATATACATACATATGTATATTCATGAATATTATAAAAAAAAACTCTCATTCCATTTACCGAAAATAGTTAAGAGAAACAGAGTAAGGTATATATAGATACGCTCAAGAGAGGAGAAGAGAATAAAATACAATTTTAAACGTAGCACCCTATTTCTTATAATTGATAACAAAAAAAAAACGTTTAATAATTTACTAAATTAAAAACCATTAAAAATATAGAAAAAAAATTAATTATAAAAGAAATTTTTGTTGTGCCACAGAAAAAAGTATACCAATCTTTAAAAAATATTCAAATAAAGTACATACATACATACATATTAATATTTATTATATACACCCATGGAAATAGAAAGAAAAACAAAATAAAAACTGTAATATGTAGTAAAAGTAAAAGATATGCAATTGTGTGTGATATCAAAATGGCTTTATATAATAAATAATAATAAAAAAAAAGAGAAAATTAGTGATATATAAATAAAAAAAAATAGAAAGGTAAAAAAATAACGAAAAATAAAAATAAAATAAAAATTTAAAATGAATCTGTGAATGTGTGTGTTTAATCAAATTATAATAAAAAGAGAAAAAGAGAAAAAAAGAAAAAATTTTGAAATTCCTTTAATTTAAGGGAGGAAGAATGAAACAGAATATGCCTTAATATAAAAAAAATGAAATGTATATAATAAAAGAGTGTGAATAGTGAACAAATATTAAAAAAAATGAAAACCTCTTATCTAAATATATTTTGTATTTCATCTATCTATTCGAGGGGAAAAGAGAAAAATACAATTTTGATCGTTGCTGATATTTTATTTTTCCTCTTGTTTTTCTTATATTATTATTAAATATAGAGAGGAGATATATTTATATATGCGTGTGTGTGCATACAATGTAATGTTATATGATTTTTTTGTTTTTTTCCTTTAATAACAATAATTTCAAGCGTAAAGTGAAATAATAATAACAAGAAAAGAAAGAAAAAATTTAATTAAGTTTTTTTTGCCTTTTTTTTCTTTTCTAATAAAAATTAAAAAAGAGTATATAAAATGCTAAAATAGGATGGAATTATTGAATATATAAAAAAGAAGAAGAAAAAGAAAAAATAAAAATGATTTTTTTTTTATATAGCATTTATTTTTGTTATTTCTTTCTAGTGAAGTTTTCATTTTATTTTACTTTAATGTTTTTTTTTTATCTTACATTTTTCCCATTGCTTTTCTGTGTGTGTTCCACATAAATTATAAAAATATGATGAAATTAATTATAAATGTGTGTATGTACATATACACATCTTTTAATAAATAATAAAAATAAATGTATGTGTGGTGATGAAATAAAAATTGGTTTCTGTATTTTTTGTGAAAAGAAAGAAAAAAATATGTGTGTTTGTGTGCAGTTTGTGCACAAAATGTATTGAATTCAATATGTTCTCCGAAAAATGGCAATCGTGCGCAAATATTTAACATTACGAAAGTATTAAGTTATATAAATATATATATATATATATAAATATATGTAGAAGATGATATTTAAATAAAATGAAAGAAATATAGTGGGGTGTGGGAGTTAAAGATCTCAAAAAAATAAATATTAATATTAAGCTTGGTATGAACAAGCATTCATATATATATATATATATACATAATATATACGCATATATATATGTATATAATAAAAACTATGCACATGAATTAAATATATATATGTTTTAATGTATAAGTATAAGTATGTATTTATATATATATATGTATGATTAAATCAAATATAAATTTAAGAAAAAAAAAAAAGAAAAAAAAACTCATGATATTGTCTCTTATAATAATAAATAAATTGATGAATAATAATAAAAAAGTTAATACAAATGATGTATGTAGGTACATATATGTATGTATGTATTTTATTTTAATTAAAATAATTTAAATAATTGAATAAGAATTAATGTAGAATAACGACAACAACAAAAAAATAGAAAAGGAAAAATGTATGCTTTAAAATGTCAATAAATTTTAAAAGTTTTTTTTTTGTTTTTTTATTCATAAAATAATAAAGAGTATTTTATTTTCCAGAACATTAATAAATAAATATGTATATAAAATTAATAATAAAATATATGAAAAAAAAAAAAAATAAAAAAAGTGTGTTCATTTAAAGTTTAATTATGAATATAAAATTTTTTATTACATAATTTTTATAATTAAAATGGTATTTTTAAATGAAAAAAAAATACAAATGAAATTTAATTTAAAAAAATAAAAATTAAAATTTTTATATTTGTTAATTAAAATAAAAATTAGTGAATCTATAAATATAAAATGAATTTAAATAAAAGAAAGAAAAAAAAGAGAAGAAAGAATGATGTGTACCTACATTCAATAATATTTTAATTATTTAAAAAAAAACATACATATGTACTTACTGTATGTATATAAAAATATAAGTTAGCAGTTGTGTTTATTATTACCTATATATAAAGTTATAGAATAATTAAAATAATTAAGATATTTAAAATAGAAAAAAAAATATTTTTAATTAATAAAACAACTAACGATTAAAAGTGATAAGTTCTAATATTATATAAAACTATTTTATTTGCATAACCAAAATAATAAATTTATTAAATTTAATAATAAATATAAAATAAATAGAATATGTACCTATATAAAATGATAAAATACATATGTATACTTGCAATTAAAAAAAAAAGAAAAGTAATAAAATTAGAATAAATTAAAATTATTTAAATAAGCACTTACCTACATCACTACATCATATTACGGTTATATCAAAATCACATCTTTTTCTTAAAACTTCCTTCTGTAATTTTGATTTATTTTTAATATTTTCAAATTAATTTTTTTAATAAATTTTTAATAAAAAAATATGTATGTAAATATGTAGATATTTTGCATTACTATGAATACGATATATATACATATAAATGAGAAATAAAATTTGGTAATTTTATGTATTGTAAAATATATGCAATAAAAATGTACAAGCCCTTTAAAATAGTTTTAAGTATAAAATATAAAATTTAAAAATTTGTATACAACAAAAATAGTCAAGTTCACAATATAAATGAAATATGTATGTTTTTACAAATACAAGAAAATTTTGTAATTAGAGGTTAATGTAACTTATCTATTTTTCACTTGCTTTACGTCTTTATCCATTTTAAGAATATTTATACTTAAAAATCTGTATTGAATTAAATTAGTTAGGGATTTGTTACATATTATTATATACATGCATATATACATTTATATCAATGTAATATAAAATTTTATATATGTGCAAAACATACTGCTATATATTATGTACTAATTAAAATAAAAAATTATTATTTATTTTTACATGAAAAATAGCACAATTATTTAAAAAATAGTATAAATTATAAGAATTCATAAATCTTGAATATTGTTATTTGTAGGTGAATAATGTACATACATGTGTATGTATAAGTTTATTTAATACGTATTAAGATTAAATAAATTTAATTAGTAATACAAAATAAATAATTAAGAGAAACTAATATAAAGCAAAGTGATTAAAAAAATAAAAATGTAAGATATATTAGTATTAAGCATTTATATATCCATAAATATATAAAAATTTTGTGTGCTCGTATAAATAGGTACATACTTATATATGTTCCTATATGAGTAAGAAAGAAAAAGAAAATAAAAAATAAAATATGAGTTTTTCGTTTTTCTTTTATTTTTTTAAATTTTCTAAAATACCTATCACAAAAAATTTATATATTGAAAAAAATGTTTTTTTTTTTTTTGGTTTTTATTTTTTTAAATAAGAAAAATAACAATAGAATTAAAGAAAAAAGATAGAAAAAAGGGGAAGAATCAACATTATTATTCAAAATAAGTTAAAAAAAATAAAGAAAAATATAAAAAATAAAAATAGAGAGAAGAAAATCATAAAAAAAAGAAAGAAAAAAGATTATAAAGCAAAATAAAAAAAAAATTAACAAAAAAAATCTCTTCGTCTCCATGAAGAACATAAAACAAAATGGTACGAGAATGGTACGAAGCAGTACGTGAAGAAAGGATACGTGATCTTTTGAAAAGGTAAGTTAATATTATTTTATATTTTATATATTATAGTAAATAGGTACCTAACAAAAAATTCCTTTCCATTATTCCAAAAAATTCTGTTTCTTCCTTTCTTTCCTTTTTTCCTTAAACTTAAATTTTATGCGTACCTCTGTATTTTCTAGAATAATTTTTTGAAATATGTTTCACTTGTTAAGGTTAAACCAATTATTACAATAATAATAATAAATAATGTTTTACGTGTTATTTTTTTTATTTCGTAGTAACCCGATATTCTGTGTTCCGATATTTGCCAATTTAATTGAAAAACCTCAAATTTTTAAAAAAATATTTGTGAAAAATTCGAGCCAACTTATTTTGCATATTTCCCTTTTCATACCGATTCTTGCTAAAAGTTTTAAAAAATTTTTATAATGAAAATGATAAAATTATAATTTTGCATAACTTCAGGAGAAATTTTTAGATAATATATTAAAAATAAAAAAAAACTTTTATTGTAAGAACTTGGCTACATTTTTGCTCTAAATTTAGTGTGGATACAAAGCCACTGAAACCTACAAAAATGACGCAATCTGTCAAAGTGTTGCTAAATCTCGAAATTACTTTATTTTCAAAAAAAAAAAATTTATTTGCATCCTTTACTAAACAGATTTGCTATATTAAATTGGTGCTACCCTCCCAGAGTTCAAATCTGGAACTTTTAGACAAGAACATACCAGAAACATATTGGTGTAAGCTAGGTGTAATAGAAAACGCATTAGCTGCACATATTAAAATTTACATGATAAATCGTCTTTACCGCAGCTACAGAACGTATATTTTCCGACATTAATTTTTACAATTATAATGCAATAAAAATTGTATACGATTTCTTAAAAAATTTACTATAAATAATAAAAACATTGCAAATTAGTATAATATTATTATAACTCATATATATTATATGAGTTGATTTGCACAAAAAAAGACGACTTAGTATAATAATTCTACTTTACAATGCTGGATATATTTTGGAGACATTTTTTCTCGAAATCGGATACATTTTGTTTTCAACCGAGTGCGAGCACTGATTGTAAGGTTCTTGCTTTTATTAAGTTCCAATGGAGTTCATAATTTCTATGAGATATGAACTTACACATTCAGAAATTTTGAAAAATTGAAATAGGGTCACCTACTATTTCATTCAATCACTATATAATTGCTTTAATTACCTACATTTAACCATAGTTCACAAAAAGTAAAAGAATTAGGAAAATGAATATAACTATCTTTTTACGATACAAAGTCTATATTTTAGGTGGTTAGTAAAAGAAAACCAATGTGTTTAATATTAAAAATATTAAGTGAAAAAAAATTGATACAATATAAAAAAGGTTTTTTGAGTTAATTTAACTCTAAGTTTGATCCAAAATATCGATTCGGATTGGTCTAGATACTTATTGTAAGCAGAAGAAAAAATAAAGTCACTAACTCTCCAAAATGAAGGTAAATTTCAACGAGATATTAAAAAAAATCTATTGACACAAAAGAAATTCTCATTCAGATTATATATTTCAAACTCTAAATGCGAGTCAAGACCCGCCAAACAGACCCAATAAATAAAAACCACGTTCAATGAAATTGTTAGAAATTGAAATTCTTTATTAAAAAAGCATGAGAATCAAGAAAAGTTGTGAAATTAACAATAACTGATAGCGACTTAAAACCAAGCATTTGGAAATAGTTAAAGTTATTTCAAAAAATTGTCTGCCCGGTCAAATACGAAACAAAAAACTATTATTAAAAAAAAACTGTAATGTTTGAAGTTGAAACAGCAGAACCGTTTTTTGCAGTTAAGGTAAAATTCAACTCGACATTTTTTTCTGTAGAAGTAGTATAGTAACGTATATATCTGTAGTTTATGCATTGATTTATAAAAATGGCAACTAAGTTTCCGTTTTTGTATTTGGATGTGCTTTCGAAACGGCAAAACTTTTACAAAATTTCATTTACTGTTCCGACAAAAAATGTAGCTAATAAAAGAATCAATGTCTATATCCTAGCCAATATTTTATTACAAAGGAGAAGCTAAGATACTTTCGACAAATGATTCATGAAAAAGTTTCAAATCTAATGAGCTAATCTCCAATATCAAAAACCAGAAACTAAGAAATATGTGCCCTCACAACTTTGACTAATTCAGCATACATAGGCTTGCTTTTCTGCCAAATATTCTTGCAGCTGATATTATAGCTGTTAAGAACAATTTACGCATAAATTACAATCTGCAACTTTGTAATAAATAATTATACACTCTTCAATAAAGACATGGAGAAAACCCTGAAACAAAAGAGAATGTCGAAAAAAAACTATAGAATATACTGAACAATAAAAAGCCGACTTAACACTTTTGTAGCAATCCTGGTTTTACTTCATTATTGTACATCGACAAATATGGAAAATTTATGATCAAATAAAAATGGAGAATAACAGCATCTAAGTTATGTATATTGAGGCGAATTCAAGAATCATACACAGTATTGGTCTGAAAGCTGCTTTTAAAAATTTAAAACTGCAAGATTAGAAGTTTAAAAGTCTAGGAAATCAGTTTGAGTTGAAAAAATAAGTGCAAAGTAGCATAAAACCCCCCATTAATGACCTAAGATTTAAATGACGATTCAATTTCACAACAATAAAAATTTTTTCATTTTTAATCATATGTTAACACAGCTTTAGATAAAATTCTCAAAATAATCCTTTTCGATTTTTTAAAATAAAAGTTACTCACTAATTTGATGAAATCAATAGACCAAAAATGCGCTTATGACATTATAATGAATTAAGATATCTAAAATAAGAATCCCTCTGTTCTATCTAAAATGAGAATTTCTCTGTAATACTTAATTTACATTACCTCTTCGAAAGAATCTTGGAATTTCTAGGAATGGCTTGGGTTTAACTGAATTTCAAGATCTAAGTGAATGTGCTTGTTATATAAGGTAGCTTTGGACACTGGTAGACTAAATTCTAACATAAATTTCACTATTAATCTATATGTTCCTATACATCCAAATGGGTTAAGCTTATTCTATAATATGTGGTGTTTGGTATTGATGCACTTTACTAAGCTTCAGCATTATAGACGAAATCAGCCTGTGAAAATAATGTAGTGTAATTTTAACTAAGAACAGATCTTCAATGTTAACGCTAATAAAGTCCCTATCAAAAGTAGACTGTATAGTGATTTGGGTTGAAAGGAGGGATTTCTCTTATGTTAGTTTAGTATTTATCTTTATCCTACGATCGCTCTTTAGATTGGTTAGTTGATCAGATTGGTTAGTTTTTGATTATACAACCCTACATTAACTTTCTATTTAATTATGAAAACTTACAGTCGCTTATTGTGTCCTGCATTATATTTCTTGCCTTTTGTATTTTAATTTTTCTCCTTCTGAAATAATAAATGCCCAATCAAAAATATCATTTGCTGATATTGTTTTTGTCTTTAATACTATACATATATTTTTTTGGAACTATTCGTAAGAGTTCCGAACTAATTGTTACTATATTAAGATTGTTTAAATGTTTTATTATTATTTTTAAGGTTAAACATACAATATAAATGTTGTTATAGCCGTGCTGTGCTGTGCATTTGGTATAAATGGTTTCACAAGAGCCATTTATAATATTCTGCAATTAGAAAATTCTTTCGATCTTTTGATAAGTAACAAAAAAGAATTAAGCAATTATGTATTTATATATGTGCAGATATTTACGTTTTTATAATTTAAAATGCTCTTAATTCACATTAAATTTGATTGTTTCCTATAAATTCGGTGCAGGACTATATAATAATATGTTTGTACGTATTCAATGTTTCAGACATGAATATATGTAGTCTGGAACATTCCCAAATTAAAATTTTGAACAGAAAATTAATGTATTTTTGCACATAAATATTTACTTTTATATTTATTTATAATAAAATTTTATACATATCTACATATAAGTATATTTGCCTTTCGTATCTCTTCTATTTTGCCTTTTCGTTATACTTGTAAGTTCGATTTTTTGCATCTCTTCTTCTTTAAATAATATGTTCTATTTTCTTGCGAATATGGATTCGATTTTTTTTTTATATTTATCGTCAGTCAATATAAACTACAAATTACAAAATGTTCTAAATGAATGACTACTGTGAGTGTGGATGATGATGATTAGCTTCGTTGCAATGTTGCCACAATTCGTTTAATGGTGTTTTACATTATAAATGTTGAAATTTATGAAAATTACATATAATGCAGAATTTATTTTATTATATATATACATATGTTTACATACATATTTTATATGGAATAACATTATGCTTATATGTATGTATATGCATAAATTTTTATTCCATATAAAATATGTACGTAAATACATATACTCGTACATATTATGTATATAAATTTTATATATTGTAAAGAAGGAAAAATTTATCATTTATGTAAACACCAAACGCTATTGTATGTTTGTGTGAAAGCACATTCTATTGTACCTATGGTTTTTTTTAATAAATAAGCTACTTTTATTCTTACATACATACGTACCTGTATGTACACATGAATGTTACATACTTAAAAAATATAAAAACTACGCCGTAAATCGTAATGTTTTACAAATTTTTTTTAATAAGAGTCATACATTCACATATAAATATTAATTTGTGCAAAACGTACAATATATAGTACATATACCTAGTACATATAGAATATAAAATTTATATTATCAAGAAAATGTAAAAATGTACATACCAATTTATATTTCTACAGCATGCCGTATATTTGCTTGTACATATATGTTGGTATATTCACGATAAATATATTGTGTGAATACATATTTTTGTATACATACATTTATATATGTATAATCTTATAAATCATACATATGTACATACAAATACATATTTAGATTTTACATTGTAAGTCATATTACAATTTTCTTTGAATAAGAATGGACATGTCCAACATACATATGTATGTACATATCTAAAT